TTGGGAATTGGCTTAACGATCTGACTAGAGATCTCTAAGCCGTATACGAACGCGACCCTCCTTGGCAGAAAGGAGGGCGCGCGCGCGCCGGCCTGCACAACTTTTATAGCCCAGTCTAGCGACGTAGCTACGAGAAGATATACACGAGTCTCACGCCGGCAAATGGAACGCACATAATAGTTGTATTTTAATTAATCTTTATTGTTCATAATGTATGAATTGTAATTGGCTAGGCAAATAAAAATTGTTACTATTGGTAAACTAACGACGTAGCCGGACATATAAATATAGGCAGGGTTGACGTAAAAATATATTCCATATTCCATACTCAATACTCCATTCGTCTGCACATCAAAAAAGTAGTTTCATTTCTCCACCACTAAACCACTCGGAGTCTGTTAATAGTGGACCTCATATCACCACTATTACACCATGCTCTAAAAGATTAAACCTATGTTACAAGGACTAACAATTTGGGTTTACCAGTAAAGATGATGTTACTGATGCACTTTAGCTAAAGTTTGTTTTTATATAAGAGGAAGTAAGCGAGCCTGTCACTTAATTGACTACCATCACCCATGAACAACTTCAACACCAGGGGAATTGCATGTGCTTTTAAAAAAGTGTATGCTTTTCTTTAGAAGGTCTCTAAGTAAAATCACTTCAGCAAAATCACTGGTGGTAGCCAATTCCACAAAGAAATTAAGTGAGGGAGAAAACTTCTGATAAATCTAAAAGGGGTGGGGCGGCCCATTCATCCAAATGGTATCGCAATTTTTGTCGCGTTGTGTGATGGTGAATTTTATATACTCATATTAGAGGATTATAACGCCATCTATCAGTATCAATATTTTCGCACTTTAGCCTCAATCACAGCAGTCACCCACAGAAATAAAAGAAGTAACATCACCTCCACCAAAGTTAATTAAAGTCCGTTAATTGTTGCTTTAAATTTGTTATCTTAAGGCTTAGAGACTTTTGGACTCGACCGGTGTCGCGGGTAATCCCCAAATATTTGACACCCATTTGGATTAAGCATCCCGTTATACGCCAGTGCGGCTCATAAATCAAAGCGCCCTTTGTTTATACACACTAATGTGTAGGGTCGTCCAGGTGTCGGTACATTAATATTGAATGTCATTCACCTTTAGGTGTAAATGCCCCTCGAATGAAAAGAGTAAGGGTTGTATAAAAATAAATCTCCAATGGCGCCTACATCTTATGGTAAAACAATGTTATTACTCCCATAATTCGACGTAACCACAGAAATCTAAATAATAAGGTACTATTATTTAGATTTCTGTGGACGTAACTGATTGTGTTAAGATAATATAATTTTTTGGATTAACGTTAAAATGATGTTAGAATATAAGCTATTATTATTAACGTGATAGAATTTGTTTTTTACGTTTTGAATCTCAAACTCGACTCATAGATCTTCTCCATCTCCGTATTTTTATTACATTTCGTTAATATTTAGTTCCTTAGTGATGTTCATGAAGAGCCTTATAACTTTTAAAATAATTACCATAGCAATGCCAGAGAATAAACCTTATCAAAAGATATTACTTAGACTAGAAATTCTTTAAATCCATTCTCCAACTTCTCAGCTAAAAACTATTCTTACCGGAAACATGGCATTCTATCTTAATCCTCATGGGTAAAAATTAATTTACATTTTGATTCTAAATCGAGGATAGATGTAGATGTCTTTGTACCACAGCACTCACTTACCACCTTGTGGATTTTGTATTCGTTTGTAACCCTTCTATCTTTATTTTATATTTTTATACTGTTCGGGTATTCTACGCATGTTTAATAATAATTAAAATTTTATATAAAAACAGTTTAATAGAGAAGTAAAAAATATAAGATTAAAATATGTTATAAATGTTAAAATGTTATGTTAATGAGCTCGCGTCCGTCGCGTTTACGGTGATTACGTGAACTAACTTAATTTTTATAATTGTCGAACTATAGCGATTGCTTCACGTGAAATGTACTGTTGGACCGTACATGCTGCCGGGCCAAAATGTAAAAATATGATTATAATGTTAGTTTGATGTGTTAGGTGATCTTATCTATGTAACAAGGTGATAAAAAATTTGTAACAGCCTAATGAATGATTGTTATTTTGTTAGATGAAAATGATGACAGTATCTAATTTATGATATAAAAATTTATTTCATAATTTAACATTAAAATGTCTATGCGGTATGGGAGAATACGCTTTGTTTTGTTTTTCAACTTCACACGGCATAACACTATGGCCCATATGTTGACGGTCAACATCACAATTTCGCGCACTAGCACTCACTGTGAAAACACTAGGCTTACGGTTAGCCTTTCTTTTATTTGCCCGCACTCACTGTACTGACACTACTCGCCGACTGCAGCTCCAAGTCCGGGGAGATGAGCGCACGCCGCCGTCGTCGCCATCGCCACATGAACACCGCCGCTACTACTGCTATCACTCCGATTAACACGTAGTTGATTGCGTAGTGATAGATGTGTGATGATAATGTGGTTAACTGCACGTTATTCTGTTTTAGGTCTTGTATTTGACGGTCTAAGTTATGTAAGGAGCTGTTCAAATCTGATATGTTGGTGTCATTTTCGTTTAGAGGTTCTGAAGTTATGCTTATTTTGATGATGTTATTCAATGGGTCAATTTTTGGAAGAAACAAGTCGTTCTTCATCTCAATTTGATAGGTGTGAATTTGATGGGATAACGACGTAAAATCTTGCGCAATTGACATGTTTTTTTTATTTCCGCTTGCAAGTTGTTGGTCTGTTTATCCAGGTTTATCAAATTTTTGTATGTTAATGTCGTTTGTCTACCAAATCTTCGGTACGTTTTAATAAATTATATTCTGATTTCAATACAGACGTCCGGTTCTTCCGTAAATTCAATAAATGATTTTGGTTTTGTCTAACAAGTTCAATATCCTTACAATACTGTTCCGCAAAACGTTCGTCCAATACGCCAAACAAACTATTTGCTAAGTAGCCTATTCCATTCACAAGTCCCCGTCGCAGTCTGGAGCGTCCGACGAAATGCTGATTCAATAGCAGGTTATTGTAATACTGCAGTTCTGAGAACTCGTGCTGTAGTTGTAACAATATCATATGGCATAAGTGATCTGTGTTTATGTTCATACATCTTTCGTTTAAATGTTATAAAAATATAAATGCTCTGCATCCCCTTGGAGTTCACTCTTTAAACATTGCATTTTTTGAGCGTTTGGGCGACGGGTTGTTGTGAACTTTCGGGATCTTTGATGGTATCCATTGGTTATAATTGCCGTTAAATGTAGGGATATCCATTCTAGGCGTACAGCTTTCTCGGCGATTGACAGACCACATTTTGGAATTGAATTTTCTCTTCAAATCCATAAATTCCTGTTCGTAGATAGTAAAAGTAGTAGTATATTCTTCGTCATTCCCATTGAGATCATGATCAATTTCCCAATGCAGAGAATCTATAGCCGACCATCGCGACTCTAATGTTTTTAAAGAATCTTCGAATTCCCATTTTTTCCTAATGTTATTTATGTTTATGCAACTAACAGACCTTTTAAATGCCTTAAAATTAATATATTGTTTGCGCAACCTGTCATGTAAGTTACTGGTCGCTCCTCGATGTACCTGTGGGTGGAGAGTCTCTTTTGGCTCCGCCGATTTTCCCGAAGACGGTTCACCTAATCCACGCTGTTCCACTTGTTGAGTTGTTTTACCTTCAGGGGCTGGATAATACTTCTGGCTAGCCAGAAAATCCTGATACTGCAAATTTATAATTTCTTTTACCGAGTTATATTGCTCCCTTGCAATTTCATACTCGGAGTTTGTAAAGTGTACGACTCTCACTTTTTACTAGTTGACTGTGATTTTTCTGATAATCTTGCCAGTACGATTCCAAAACCTCAAGTTTTCTTTTAAAATAATCTAATGGTTTACGCTCTGATCCATCTTTTTTTAATATTGACACCAATTTTACGAATAGCTCCTACAATCTCGACCTAATTAGCGTGTGCCTTTTCCATGTTGCTATTAAATGCAGAACTGTTAAAAAAAGGAAAGATCTTACTTTGGCACTGCTGATTACTGCTGATGCTGCTGCTGCTGTTGCTGCTGCTGACCAACTTGCCGACTCGTTGCTTCTTGACCTAGACAAGCTGCTGCTTGGCCAAGCCAAATGTTGTGGATGTTGAGCAAGATGACCACTGTTATGTTTGAGTTTAAAATGTTCGCTAGTTCTCACTGTCAGGTCACTGTCTTTGATACACGGGGGTCCAATAGACTTGTCAAAGGACTCAAAACTGTTTATTTTTCGCTCGAAGGATCAAAAATGTTCGGGTATTGGACGTATGTTTAATAATAATTAAAATTTTATATAAAAATAGTTTAATAGAGAAGTTGAAATATAAGATTAAATATGTTAAAAAGTTAAATTTCATTATGTTAATGAGCTCGCCTCCGTCGCGGTTACGGTGATTACGTGAACTAACTTAATTTTTATAATTGTCGAACTATAGCGATTGCTTCACGTAAAATGTTAACGCCAGCAGAAATGTACGGTTGGACCGTACATATACACTTATTCTATATATTAAAATATTGATTCAGTGAATCTTGTGTAGGATACTGTGACATTTAATTTATAACCTTGATAGTGGAACACAAAAGACTAGATTTTGATCTCATAGTGTTATCGCGTGTTCCGAGTGAGTACCAAACTATATGCTATTTTCACCCGTTACTACTAATTAGTTTCAGCGTAGCGGATACAGCTCGTTACGCTTCGATTCGGGAAGACCTAAGATCGAAACACAAGGAAGATTTTTTTTCTCTTTTTCTTTTTTTTCCTTTTCTATTGTCTTTAAAAAAAAGGTTCCAATAAAAATTGGAAATATCTTATATTGAAAGTTAACAAGGCAGCAAAAGGACACAAAAACCTTGTCTGGGGGAGTTGCTCGATTGGTCTGCAGGACCAGAACTATATGCAATGTACAGAATGCACCAAACCTTATCATCTTGAATGTCTGTCAATACCAAGCAATGAAGATGATCCTACCACGTCTACGTGGCTGTGCCCTCAATGTCATGGAACGCATAAATTGGGTAATAATGATAACACCCCGGTTCGCTACAACTCAAATATAACTGTGAGGCCGAGAAAGAGGCAAGCTTTGAACTCCCCACCAAATGCTTCAGATGAAGGCCCAATAACAAGAGACGAGATGCAACAAATTATCAAGGACCTAGTGACTCAATTCCAAAAGACACTGCGCATTACCATATCGGAAATTCTAGGTACTGAACTAAAATTAGGTGTTCGAAACGTCGGGTATTAAAAGTTAAATATACGCGATAAATTCCGTAAAAACTAGTATTATTTCACTGAACTAAAATCTTTTAAGGAGGATATAGTGGATATGAAGGAGTCTATGAATTTCATGAATACAAAATATGAATCTATCACAAAGGAGCATGCAGAGGCCAATGAAAAAATAAAACACCTCGAGACAGAAAACGGCGCACTGCAGTCAAAGTTTGAGGACTCGTCTAATCGATTTAATCAGATGGAACAAAATGCTAGAATGAATAACATTGAGATCCAATGTGTGTCCGAGAGGAAATATGAGAACCTGTTGCACATCGTAACAGAACTAGGCAAAACTATAAATTGTCAAGTATCCACGGAACACTTAGCCCACTACACCCGTATTGCTAAACTAAATAAAGACTCCAGCCGCCCTAGGTCTATTGTAGTGCAATTTAACTCGCCGAGTATGAGGGACAAATTTTTGGCAGCAGCGATCAAATATAATAAAGTGAAGCCTCAAGAAAAGTTAAACAGGTGTTTCCGGTGCTAAAACTCTAATTTTTATATGTGAACATCTCTCCACTCACAACAAGGCCCTCCATGCAGCAGCAAGACAAGCGACAAAGGACAAAGGTTATAAATATGTCTGGGTGAGAGGCGGTCGCATTTTCATGAGGAAGACTGAAGACTCTGAATTTAAAATCATCAGAAACATAGAGACACATGACAAGTTGCCTTAGTTCCAAACCTAACTTATTTTTTTACAATATTTTGAATGTACCCTATTTTACCCGTTTTAAAAGAGGTAAGAATATATTACCAAAATGTTCATGGGTTGCGTAAGAAAACTCACAACTTTTTAAGCGAAGTCAATTGTTATAATTATGATGTAATAGTTTTAACTGAAACCTGGCTTAATAGTAGCGTTATGAGCAATGAGTTATTTGATGACGGATACGAGATATACAGAAGAGACCGGGAAAGTACGAGGTTTCATGAGAATAAGGATGGGGGAGGAGTCTTAGTTGCGGTACTAAATACTATCAAATCGGTTCGGAAGTTTGAATGGGAAAGTAAATGTGAAGACATTTGGGTGGTTTTGGATTTGAAAATTGAAAACTCTGTCCATCAAATAGCTCTTTGCGGTGTTTACTTACCACCTCCGGTGAACAGGCTAATGTTGGAGTATTATATAGAAAATTGTACCTCAGTCATAACAAGTAAATTTGATTCACACCTGTGCTTTATTGGTGATTTTAACTTAGGTAATATAAATTGGAGTTTGGTACATGATTTGTCGAATAACTATGTTGCTCCTAGTCCAAGCCAAGCATTGATAGATTTAGATCATCTCAACAAGCTTAATCAAATGAATAACATTCTTAACAAATCGGACCGCTTGTTAGACCTTGTACTGACCGACCTATCATCCATGTGTACAGTAGCAGCATCAGTTAATATCCTTAGTATCGTAGATCCTCTACATCCTCCTCTCGAAATATTAATAAAAAGAAATACTGACATTGCATTACCGTATAACATCGATACTAAAATACACAATTTTAGGAAAGCCGATTATACTCAAATCCGCCTTTGTTTAGCCGAATATGACTGGAGTAAAATGTTTCATAACCTGAATGTTAATGAAATGACAAACTTATTTTATGATATAATTAATAATTTAATAAATAAATATGTGCCCTACAAAAAAATAAGAAATAATTCTTCTCCTCCTTGGTTTAATATTTCATTAAAGAGAATGTTACGTGAAAAGGAGAACATAAGAAAGCAGTATAAAAAATATAGGAATCACGTGGACGAGGTGTAGCTGCGGCTACTTAATAAGCGTTGCTGCACACTAGCAAATCAATCTTATAAAAATTATATAAATAAGACAGAAGATAGTATTAAGTCGAACCCTAAACTTTTTTGGTCATTTGTTAAGGCAAAGAAGTATGGGAAAAGTAATTATCCTTGTACAATGACTGATGGTAATAAGAAGTCATCTAGTCCTATGGAAATCTGTGACTTATTTGCGTCCTATTTTGGAGCTGTGTGTAATTCTCAAGATATATAAACTCAGAGTTGAATGTCAGCCAATGGAATTTCATTTGCAATTACAGCCTTGAACTAACTGCTCCCTACCTTAGCAAGGATCAGATACTGAAGAGCATGAAGTCCCTAGATCTTAATAAGGGCCCAGAATCAGATTGTGTCCCTCCTTTATTCATTAAAGCATGTGCGGATGAGCTAGTGACGCCTACATATCTAACTTTTAAGAAGTCTCTTCAATCCGGCCTATTTCCTGATGTTTGGAACTCCGCTAAAGTTGTTCCCATTCACAAGGCCGATAACGTCGAGGTGGTAGGTAATTATAGGCCTATTTCAATACTGCCAACTTTAAGTAAAATATTTAAATCTCTTGTTTATCCTGTGCTGCAGAACCACTTGAATCATTATCTTACTGAGTGGCAGCACGGTTTTGTTAGATTTAGGTCAACCTGTTCCAATCTGACCTTGTTTACTTAAATTTTGGTAGAAGCAGTAGATGACGTTAGGGATGTTGATGTAATATAAACAGACCTTAGTAAGGCATTCGACAAAGTACCTCATAATATTCTAATATCTAAATTGCGTGCATATGGTATTACTGGCTCATTATTGGGATGGTTGCAGTCGTATCTGGATAATCGTAGTTTTAGTGTGGTCGTTAATGGTTTTTAGTCTGCTCCAAACAAAATTACGTCGGGGGTTCCTCAGGGATCACATTTAGGTCTTCTACTTTTCAAAACCTTCATCAATGACATCCCTAGTTGCTTCCAGTTCTCCATACCATTTATCTATGCCGATGATTTTAAATTGGTTGGCATCTGCGAAACTCTAGAGGACATTGAACAGTTTCAAAGTGTGGACGTATGGAAATTGGTTTCGAGACAATAGTATGTACCTGAACATAAACAAGTGCTACCATATGAAATTCAGTAGAAAGATCAAGTCACTGAACACATCATAGAAAATTAATGCAGCGACATCATTAAGAAAACAGAGGAAGTCAGAGACCTGGGAATAGTGTTCGATAAAAAATTTACCTTCCTTCCCCACATCGAGACTATTACAAAAAGGGCGTATAGAATGCTAGGCTTTGTTTTGCGTAACGCTAAAGTATTTAAAAATAATCACATTAAAATCCTACTGTACAACAGCCACGTACGAAGCATACTTGAGTATTGCAGTGTAGTATGGAGGCCACATTACGCGACACACTCCTTACGATTGAAACGTCTGCAGAAAAAGTTCGTGGCAAATTTGGCCTATTGGAATGGAATTCAAAAAAAATTCGGTCTTACGAAAAACGATTAAGATTCTTTAAAATTTTATCCCTGGAAAATCGCAGAAATTTGCTTGACCTGTTATTTCTTGTAAAAATTTTCAATCAAAAAATTAACTGTCCACTCTTGCTCCAAAAATTTAAATTTCGTGTTCCATTGAGAATTCCTCGCGCCGCTATTACTCCACTTTGCCCTTCTTTTAGAAAATCTGTCTTATGTGCAAACTCCCCAATTCCAAGGTGGTGCAAATTGGTCAATGGACATAATGACAAAGTTGACATTCACGCCGACTCATTTGCCAAAATTAAGGAAGTTCTAGCTTTAGCCTGGTCTGAAACCAACAAATAAATAATAATAGTTTTTTTACCACATACTTATTTTCATTATTAGGTAATTTATACTTTTTTTATTCGTATTTATAATCTTTCTCGATGCATGTGATGTTTACCTTAAAAGATTGTTACATTTAGCTACGTAAGTTAGTTCTTAAGAGCGCATATTCAAATATGTCCAAGTCGAAATCTACGCGATCCCTTTGGAACGGCGTAATATTGACGCACACTACAATTTTATCTCTGTGTGCGTGTCAGGGCGAGCGTAAGGCTAATAGTTGTCTAACGACGACTACGAATCACTTTGATCTTTGATTATATACCTGTCTTTGATACTATTGGAACTAAAATAACAAAAAAATAATTTCAATATAATGGCTTATATAGTGTATAGAAATCGGAGGCTAATATGTGGAAATTGTTTTATTCTTTTTAGTAAATTGAAGTCGGCTTTACATTTTCACCCTATTGAGTATATTATAATATGTAAGTATATGTTCTAATTGAAAAATATGTATTGTATAAAATATATATCATTTGATAAACTTTTATTCTGTTTCATAATGTAAACATAATTCATCAAATTAACAATTTCATTAGTGTCGGCGGGGATTAGTGTTGCCAGGCCTAGCAAGTAAAATTTTGGGACGGAAGTTTTTTGTTTTTTTTTTTGCTGCTTAATTAAGTGAAAATCGGGACATTTGGCGTCCCGATCAAGGGTGAATCGGGACGTGTCACTAGACCCTTGAAAATCGGAACGTCCCGCGCAAATCGGGACACCTGGCAGCACTAGCGAGGATCGAGCCCGGATTGTTCGCGTTTACGGCGAGCTCTACGCCCTTCAGCTACTCAACTCAAGCACGGCTCATATGTTTTATATCTGGGGGCACGGTAGTGCCCCCGCCAAGTCGAGTAAAACAGCGGCACCGCCGTATCATCATTGAGAGACTTGGTTATTTTACAAGTTATGATTTTGATGGCATGTCTTTGTTTAATCATAACGTTATCTGCACACTAGGAATTTTTCCTAAGTACTCGTTGGGGCAGTTTAAATACATTAATTTCACAATGACAAACATCCAGACCTGGAACAATTATTTGTAGGTAATACAAATTTTTGTTACATGTGGGATTCGAACCTGCGGCGCTCAGCGCTACAACTCATTACCAAGTCACTCCGCCACGGAGCCAAAGGTGAAAGCCAACGATTTTGTATTTTTACTTGATCCGAATTGCTTACGTTCATTCATTTCATTACACTCATTTCTAAAAAAATATGTATAAAATGAAAATTTGCCACCATTTCATCATTTAATATTTAAATATTACAATCATAAACATATTTCAAAATTACTTACTACCAAAAA